GCCAAATTGCCCAGGCTGGTCTTGAACCCCTGGACTCAGGCAATCCTCTCACCTTGGCCTCCCAAAGTGCTGGGATTATAGGTGTGAGCCACCATTACCATAATTTATTTTTAGAAATAGTGTAGAGCAAAACAAATCTGCGGGGATAGAAGTCAGAATTGTGGTTGCCCTGGAGAGGGGAGGAGATACTTCTAGGGTGCCAATGATGTTCTGCCTTGGTCTGGCTGGGTTACATGAGTTCATCCACTCGTAAGTGTTTGTTGAGCTGTTACCCCAGGTTTGTGCACTGTATTATATGTATGTTACATTTTAATACAATACTCAAGAAGAAAAAGTAGGTCTTACCACAACTAGTTATTACATTCTGATAAGATCCATCATATGGTCCTGAGATAAAGGCTTCAAAGCTTGTGACATACTTACCACCTTGTCTAAGAGTCTTCGGCCTATCTGGAGACAAATACTAAATCTTATTAAACACTTAACAAATTTGAAATGGAAAGTGAATTCTGTTGCAGTATTTCAGATTCCTCTAACCTCATAAATGCAAGTAAATACTTTATCGTGGAATGCACGTTCATTGTGACATGTTTAGTCGATATTAAAACCAAGTGTACTGCAACTTAAATTCATGAATGGCCACATAAAAGGGTTCATGCGAAGTGGCGGTATGGCCTTCATGCTTGTGAGTTATTTTCCATTTAGGTGCATTGGAAGATGGGGATCCGGCCCACTAGGGGGCTGTTCATTCTGTGTCCTCAAAAGGGCTCTTTGTGTTTGGGAATGATTTGGGTCTTCTACATTTTCGTAGAAAATGCTAGTGCTGTTTTTTGTGTTTTTATTTTTTTTTTAAAGGTTCCTTTTTAAATGTCATCAGAGTGATTTTTCTTCCCACTTTGGTCAGGCAATAATTGCAGTCTCACCCTTCAATTTCAGGCAGTTCCCTTTAGTCTTGACAGCGTTGCAAACTCCATTCACTCCTTGTTTTCTGAGGAAACTCCTGTAGTTTTGCAGTTGGCTCCCAGTGAGGAAGTAAGTGATAAAGTTTTTATTTAAGATGCTTGAAAAAATAAGTTTTCATTATTTGTAAAGGTATTATGAAATATAATTTTGTTACAAAACTTAAAACATTTGATGAAGAATGCTGTCAGTCCTCTGTATGTTGGCATTTATCTGGAGAATGTGAGGAACTCACAATTTGGGGTTCTTCTTGCAGAGAGTGTATATGGTTGGGAAGGCAAACTCCGTCTTTGAAGACCTTTCTGTCACCTTACGACAGCTCCGCAATCGCCTGTTTCAAGAAAACTCCGTTCTCAATTCGCTTCCCCTCAATTCTCTGAGCAGAAACAATGAAGTAAGTGGTGCCATTATGGAATGAATAAATGAATAGCATTATTAATTTCCCATTCCTTATGCTACTGGAGATTTTAGAAATTGTATAAAATGAGGCTGACTGTCTGTGGCTATACCACCCTGAACACAGGGGATGTCCTCTGAGAGATCTGGGAAGCTAAGCAGGATTGAAAATGAGGCCGGGTGCAGTGGGTCATGCCTATAATCCCAGCACTTTGGGAGGCCAAGGGTAGAGGATCACTTGAGACCAGGAGTTGAAGACCAGCTTGGGCAACATAGCGAGACCCTGTCTCTACAAAACTAAAAGCTAAAAACAAAAAAGAGAGCAAAAACTTGTGCAAATTTACTGCTTAAGTAGATTCTTCTTTAGTGTAATTTTCTTATGAATCTCATGAATAAGCTGATCCTTATTTTGAGTTGAGCTGTAGTAAATTACATCACATTCTAGCACAGGGATTGCCACTTATTAATCCAGGCATGCCAGAGATCACAGTATCTACTTGGCGGCTGGTGCAGCTGTGCAGATCTGATACCTTGGGGGCCGTTGTTCGCTGCCCTTGCTGATGTCCTGCCACATTTTGCTCGTTTATTCTTGACACTACAGTGGAGAAACCCCTACTCTTTTTTTTCCTTTCAAAGGCTGGGTCTCACTCTGTTGCTCAGGAGTGCAGTGGTATGATCATAGCTCACTGCAGCCTCAAACTCCTGGGCTCCAGCGATCCTCCCAAGTAGCTTGGACTGCAGGTGCATACCATCATGCCACCATGCCTGGCTAATTAATTTTTAAAATTTTTTTGGTAGAAGTGGGGTCTTACTATGTTGCCTGAACTGGTCTCAAACTCCTGGCCTCAAGCAATCCTCCCGCCTTAGCCTCCCAAAGTGCTGGCATTACAGGCATGAACCACCATGCCCAACCTTCTGTGGTAAAGCTAAAGCACTCCTGTCCTTCTGCTTGACCACCTGATCATGCACCGTCTTAACCACATGGCACATCACCTTTGTGGCACCCTCCCTCTTTATCTACTATGGATAACCAGAACCACGATCATTTATTTTCCGATGTGGAGAGTATTCAAGAGAAATGAGCAAACTGGGCCATTGGCGGTAGCAGACTGAAGTGTACCAGGATATCCTGGTGCTTTGAGGGAAAAACCACTGGAGAATTTGAATGCTTTATTATGGTTTTGTCATGCTGGGCACAGTGGCTGACACCTATAATCCCAGCATCTTGGGATGCTGAGGCAGGGAGGATTGCTTGAGTCCAGGAGTTTGAGACCAGCCTAGGCAACATCGTGAGACCTAGTTGCTACAAAAATTTTTTTAATTTAGCCAGGCATCGTATATATATATATACGACACACACACACACACACACACACACGGGGAACCACTCAACAGCTGTGTGTGTGTGTGTGTGTGTGTGTGTGTGTGTGTGTGTGTGTGTGTGTGAGTGACTGCTGAGTGGTTCTCCCTGTACTAGGGGATTATCTTTTTGTTGGGAAACAATGTTTTACATGCATTTTCAATGGAATTGAATTTACAAAATTGAGGATAATTGTTGTATAAATTCACTTATATGATTAACTTTTGTAATATCCTGTGCCTTACTTGACAAATGGCAAATACAGATTTCTGATGTATGTTTAGAAGAATGTTAATTTCCTTTGGCTCTCTGAAGGTTGACCTGCTGTTTCTTTCTGAACTGCAAGTGCTACATGATATTTCAAGTTTGGTAAGTAGACTGCTCTAATTTTTCCATTCAATTTATTTTGGCTTCTAGAGAATCTTTGAATGACAGTGAAGCCAGTTGAAAAGTTTGATTAAGTATGCCCTAGATTTAGCATCCCATGAACAGAGAAATTAGTGGTAATAGTGGGAATTTTGAACACATCTCATGTTATAGTCAAATTCTTTTGCATTTCTACTTCTTGTTTTTGTTTTTTTTCCTCCAAGAACACAGGCCCAAGAGTAAGAACACCCTGACTGTGGTTCTATTGTCAGACATTGACTCAATTCCTATATCTGTATCTTTGGGTCAAATAGAAATGATAGTTTGAATTAGTAGTGCTGTCAGCCAAGTCAAGAAGGGAATAAATATATGAAAGGTTTTTTTTTTTTTTGGTGAATTATTATTTTTTTAAATCCTCTTTGTGGCTGAAATAGAAATTTATGCCTGTTTGCTGTCATCTGAAGTTGTCTTCTAAACTTGAGAGGTCTTGGTTCGGGGGTACTGGCGGTGTAGTGGGAGGGCCTGCAGGGTGGCCTGGGGGTCGTGTGGGAGGTGTCTATTTTCTGACCACTGATGGCTCATGCATCCCTGGGATCAAACTGGTCCCTGACCCGTATCTGAGTTTTTAAAACTAAGGAATTTCATTAAAGGCTTTTATTAAATATTCAAGGAGTCCTGGAACTGCTCCTAAAAATGAGTTTTGTGTTGGATTTATTTTTATCGGAAACTCCTTTAAACCAGTTCCATTTGCCACCATTTTAGGCTATTTTTATGTTAGGGCACAGTGGGGTGGTTCTGTTTAGCCCAATTTCACAAGGCATAAAACTTCAACAGGCTATGTTTGGCATCTTTACTACCTTTTTTTGTTTGTTCTCCTAAGTTGTCTCGCCATAAGCATCTAGCCAAGGATCATTCTCCTGATTTATATTCACTGGAGCTGGCAGGTTTGGATGAAATTGGGAAACGTTATGGGGAAGACTCTGAACAATTCAGAGATGCTTCTAAGATTCTTGTCGATGCTCTGCAGAAGGTAAGTGTCATTGTGATATGGGAGGCTGGAGTGTGGCCATTTCACTTCTAGCCTCTTAATGGAAACACATGTTTTGTGAAACACTGTCGAGTAAGGTCTTACTTGCTTTCTTTGGGGGTCACCTGGTTACAGTAGCCAAGAAGGGGTAGAGTTAAAGGTGGATATTGGGATGTCTCTTCCTAATGCTGGAAGGGGCGGCATTGGGAAATGATTGCTAACTCCACCACAATACCTTTTTTTTGAAGTTATTCTGATAAAATATATACAACATAAAATTTATCATTTTCACAATTTTAAGTATATAGTTCAGTGGCAATAGACATTCATGTGTTATGCAACCAGCATCTCCAGAACCTTTTCATCTTCCTCAAATGAAACTCTACCCATGAAACACTATGAGATAATTGAAGTAGAATACCTAGCACAGGACCAGACACTTAGTAGGTGCATAATAAATGCTCATTCTGCCCTGCCCTTGAAGTTGTTCACCTGTAACTCTTCTGTGAGGTTTCGTTTAAAAACATTTTTTAAAAATAAATTTTATTTTTGGCTGGGCGTGGTGGCTCAATGCCCGTAATCCCAGCACTTTGGGAGGCCGAGGCAAGAGAATTGCCTGAGCCCAGAGGTTCAAGACTAGCCTGGGCAACATGGGGTGACCTCGTCTCTAGAGTAAATCAAAAAATTAGCTGGGCATGGTAGCTCCTGCCTATAGTTCCAACTACCTGGAAGGCTGAGATGGAAGGATTGCCTGAGCCCAGCAAGTCAAAGCTACAGTGCCACTGCACTCCAGCCTGGGTGACAGAGTGAGACTCTGACTCAAAAAAAAAAAAATTTATTTTGCAGAGATGCGGTCTCACTATGTTGCTCAGGCTGGTCTCAAACTCCTGGGCTCAAGCGATCCTCCCGCCTCAGCCATATTTAAATCTTTGAAGATGTTTGTGATTAACCAGAGAACTTCTTCATTTCTCTTTCCAACTTCTCTTCCTCCCCTAAATTATATGCCAATAAATTCAGTCTCTTCTTAAAGTAATTTTATTTTGAACATTTGAATCTATATTAAGGCCGAACACTTTTCTGAATATTTTAACATAATCAAAACCTCTAAGACTTGCGTATTTTAAGACACAGAGTATTTCCTGAGCCAATAGGTAAGTGTATGTTGTTCTTATAGTTGCACATTAGCTTTACAGATGATCTTAATAAATATGTATTGACTTGCACAAAAAAATAAGCAGTGAGGTAATACATGTTTATTAGGCAACGTGAACTTAGCCATTCCGTAATGTATATATATTTCAAAACAATATATGTTGTCCCTGATAATTATATACAATTTTTATTTGTCAATTAAAAAAATAAGCACGTGTCTTGAGATTCATAAAATTGTCAACAGCTAACTTTCAGTTTGCAGATGACATGTACAGTCTTTATGGCGGGAATGCAGTGGTAGAATTAGTGACTGTCAAGTCATTTGACATGTCCCTTGTGAGGAAGACAAGGACTATCCTTGAGGCAAAACAAGCGGTGAGTACATTTTTAGGTCCTGCTTTAAAACTGAAAAATTAACTTAAAAAAAAAAAACTATAGCCTGTAATCCCAGCACTTTGGGAGGCTGAGGCGAGTATATGGCATGAGCCTGAGGGTTCAAGACCAGCCCAGGCAACTTGGTGAGACCTCATCTCTACAATAAAGCAAAAAATTTGCCAGGCATGGTGGTGCATGCCTGTAGTTCCAGCTACTTGGAAGGCTGAGGCGGGAGGATCGCCAGAGCCCAGCAGGTCGAGGCTGCGGTAGCCGGGAGTGGCCACTCCAGTCTGGGCGACAGAGTGAGACTCCAACTCAAAAACGAAAAAAAAAGACAGAAATTAACATCAATCCTGGTCCTAGGCTGGTAAGGCCACTGTGGAGCAAGAAGTAAATATGAAACCTATCTGGCAGAAACCTATCCTCAGTACAAACCACAGTGTGGAGGGGACTCCCATAGCCGGGCTCCTCCGATGTGAACTCATGAACTCAGAAAACTGTGAAACACGGAGGAGCCAGTCCACCAGGAGTGCAAGTTAGCTAAAGCAGCAGATGGCAAATCAGGCCCTAGAGCTTCTCCATAACAGAATGTGGGTCTAAGCCGTGAAAGGATGGGCTAAACTGTTTAAAGAAACAGGAGTCAAACAAGAAAGAAGAGCTCTTTTAAAAAGACAGATTGGAATTTAGTGGGAAAACTTTTTTGTTTTTGTTTTCTCGAGTCAGGCTCTCACTCTGCGCCTAGGCTGGAGTGCAGTGGCACAGTCACAGCTCATTGTAGCCTTGTCCTACAGGTGTGTGCCACCACCTGCAACTCATTTTTTGATATTTTTGTAGAGACAAGGGCTCGCTATGTTGCCCAGGCTGGTCTCTAACTCTTGGGCTCAAGCAATCCTCCTGCCTCAGCCTCCCAAAGTGCTAAGATTACAGGCGTGAGCCACCACACCTGACCTTGGAAAACTTTTAAGTGCTAGGTTCCTTCAATATTGTCATGGTAGGCCTCCTAATTTTACATGAAGTGACTCCAGAGAAAAGTGTTGCAGTTTGAAGAAGGTCCCGGTTCATTTAGAGAGTTTCTTGGCAAATCGGTTTTGCAGAGCTGAATTATTTTGTCTCTCTGAGTTGTTGGATTGAATTTACGAATCAGCTGCTTTAATGGTTGAGTATATCAGGAAGGTTTCTCAGATTGTTGTATGTGTAGTGAGGAGTAAGAGTCAGAGACTGTCACTGGATTTTATCTACAAGGTAGTGAGGTAACACTTTACATATGCAGTCTAAAATCTTAAGGTTTCTTTTTTTTTTGGCATAATAGGCCAACATGAACACTTTGAGCCTGGACGTGGGTGCCAACCATCCCTTGGAATCCCATGTCCGTCTCTGCTGCCCTACCTGCTATCAGCTTCCATCACTCTCCTCTGTCAGGGTCTGCCCCTCTCAACTCCATACTGATGGTCTCACCTACTTCAAAGGAAAGGAGGTCTTGGCTTGAGGTTTCTTTCTGGGGTGATGGAAACGTTCTAAGATTACATTGTGATGATGACTGTGCGACCCCTAAAATTCACTGAATTATCCACTTAAAACGCGTGGGGAAAGAACCTGCTCACCAAAAGAAAGAAAGCAAAGTGAAGTCTTCCAGGGTATGGAACCCTTCACGTTTGCCCGGCCCTAAGCTCCAAGCATCTGTGCTGTATCCTTCTCCCATGGAAGCCACTTTCTTCCGTTCATTAAGGAGGGAGCTCAGAGCTTAAGGAATTTATACTGAGTACTTACAACCTGCCAGGTACTGGGGCTGTAGGGACAAGTAGAACTCGGGTATCTTCTCCTGTTCATCCTCACTGCCAGGCACCCCCCCCGCCCCCGCCCCCGTG